GAATTTGATGAAGTTTTTGCAGCAGTATGAGTTATGCTCTGGTCAGAAGGTTAACCCTAATAAGAGTTCCACGCTCTGTTCTAAATATATTTCTTCTGCTAGGAGGCAATGTCTTTCTATGGTTACTAAGTTTCCAGTTAAGATGTGCCCTTTTATTTACCTGGGGTGTCCCATAATTAAAGGTAGAACTAGGATTAATTTTTTTGAGGATGTTTTTGGAAAGTTTAAGTTGAGACTTGAAGGCTGGTATGCTAGAATGCTGTCTAACATGGGGAGGGTTTTAATGGTGCAATCGGTTTTGTGTGCACTGCCTGTGCATCTATTGGGCCTGTTTAAACTTACCCAAAAGTATTATTGCTAAGATGAACTCCACAATGGCAGGCTTTATTTGGTCTAATAGTTTGGAGAGGAAGAGGAGACATTGGGTTGCCTGGAGTAAAATTACATTTCCAAAGCAGGAGGGAGGACTTGGGGTAAGAAAGTTGGAAGAGTTTCAAGAGGCTTTTAGAATGAAACAGGTTTGGGGTTTACTGAAAGGTACTTCTCCATGGGCAAAGGTTTTTACCTCTAAATTTCTGAGAGGGAAACACATTTTAAGATGTATAGGGAAGAGTCATTTTAAAAGCTTGGAGGTTTTGAGGCCTTACTTTGGGAAGGTGGTGGGGCATTCTCAAATATTGGTGGGTAATGGTGAGGTTACTGACTTCTGGTGTGACAGCTGGTTGGACGGGGTCCTCTCTTGCAAAGGTTAGAAGTTATCCCTAGCTTCTTTCCCAAGTTGTCTGAGCTTTGGGTAGGAGGGCAATGGTCTTTTAATGAGGTGGGGGAATTATTAAGTGACCAGTTGAGAGAGGAGATTGTGGGATCATGGATCTGCTTGTCTGGATTCCCAGATAAGCTAATTTGGCAGCACTCTAACTCTGGGATTTTTTCTATCAAGTCTGCCTGGCAAGTTATTAGACAGAAAAAGGAAAAGCTGCATACTGCTGCTGTGATTTGGGGCATTCATACTGTTCCTAGTGCACAATTGGTGGGATGGAAGCTTTGGAGAGGAGGGGCACTGCCTGTGGATGCTTGTGTTAAGAGGTTGGGAATTTCTGTTTTAAGTAGGTGTTATTTGTGTGGAATGTGTGGGGAGGATGAATCTCATTTGTTTATTGATTGCCTCTATACTCAGGCTATTTGGGAGAGGTTTGCTGCTTTGGTTAGTTTTTCTATTATAGAGGGGGAGAGCCCTTTGATAAGAATGGTTAGAATTTGTAGGATTTTTCGTAAGAAGTCTATTGGATATTGTTTAGTAAGAAGCATTTCCTTAGTTATTTTTTGGCAAATTTGGAGGGAGAGATGTCGAAGGAAAGCTGATGAGGGGAAGATGCATTCTTATTTTTTGTTCCTTAAAATCTGTGGTATTTTGCGATGGCAAGCTATTGCCCTGGCTGGTAAAGTGGTGGATAATGTTAGAGGAAGGGATTGGTTAGTTTTTCTAGAGGTTAGTATGAGTGTAAAATGGGTTTGTAAGGCAGTATGGGTGAAGTGGTCTTTTCCTCTCTCTGGGGTTCTCAAATTAAATGTGGATGGAGCTTCTAAGCATAATCCTGGTTTGGCTGGGGGAGGTGCTGTTTTACGTAATGAGCAGGGAAGATTGGTTCTTGTTGGGTCCTTTTTCTATGGGATTCACTCGAATATGTATGCTGAGTTTCGATCTTTGGTGGATGGTTTGGAGATGGTGAGTAGATATGGCTTATTGGGGTATAGGATTCTTATTGAATCTGACTCCTTAGTTTTGGTTCATACTCTGATGAGCAGATATGTCTGTGGTTAGAGGTATATGGGTTTGCTAAATCGTATTAAGAGTTTGTTGGCACAGGTTGACTACCAAATCTCGCATGTTTTAGAGAGGCAAACTGTGTTGCTGACAGTCTAGCCAATCAGGCTGTCTTAGACAGAAAGTCATCTGATTTTTCAGGTCCTGATGCCTTACCTTGTGCTGTTAAGATGATGCTGATTCAGGATCAAAGGCAGATTCCAATTTTGAGAATTAGGAGAGTAGCAGTTTTTGATGATAAAGGCTAACAGTTGGTGGATAGCTGTCTGTTGGAGAGTGGCTCTTGGGAGAAGTTTTATTGTTTTTTGAATATTTTGAAGGATTAAAACCATGTAAAATAGGAATGAATTTTCTTTCATTTTCTACTTGTAAGAGTCTTGATTCATTGGGAATAAAAATCTCTCTTCTTTGAAAAACAGAACATATAAAATGAGCAGTTATTGCAGCACATGCTCAAACCCCCATATTAATCACATTACTGATGCAAAGTCCAAAATCTCATTGATGCTGAAGCATTACCAAACAAATAAAAAACCATGCTCACATAATTTTGAGACCACGTACATGCTCACATGATTTCCGTCGAAAATATAGTCATTTTTTTAAAAAAAGTTTGTTATTGAGGTTTTTGCGGTGTTGTCTATTAGTTTTGAAATTCAAACCGGTGAACCAAACTATTTGGACATTACTGACGATCTATGTTTATGGAGAAGAAGGTACATTAACAATCTGTTTTTAGTGTATTTGTCTGACAATTTATGTTCATGGAAAAAAATGTATATTAACAATCTATGTTTTAGTGTACTTGTCCAATGTTCTGTATTTTTAGTAGACATGTCTAATGATTTGTTTATGGAGAAGAATGTACATTAACAATCTGTGTTTTAATTCGCATTTATAGGGATGGGGTTTGGCAGAATTGTAGCTGGTTTCATGAAGGGAGTGACGGTGGTTGTTACGCTTAAAGGTGGACTTGAAATTGTAAAATCTATATACTCAAAAGAGCCATCAAACAGAGACCTTGGCAACAAAATAGATGGGTTGTCACAGCACACTACAGCAAAGTTTGAAGAACAAACCAACAAAATTCTTGATGCAGTGGAAAAGTGCGGTAAATCAACTGGTGGAAGTGGTGCAGGTCCAGCTTGAGCTGTTTTCGCTGGTTTTCACTGGGGGATAGGAGCGCTTAGTTTCTTTTTCTAGGATGAGTCAGTTTGAAGATTGGGTCTAAACTTTGAGTTTGAATGTCTTTTAATTTGCGTGAGGTATGTTAGTGCACTCCTGAACTTATTTGCAGCTGGAATACTATGGTTTACAAAACTGTTTTTCCTTCAAATGCTATTAGCTTTAGGCTTTGTATGTTCGGATTGCTTCAGTGAGTGTATGTTATGATGCAAGCTTAAGTTGTTCTATGAAATGCATCCCCTTGTTTTCCTACGTCAGACATTTTCTTTAGTTTGCTTGCACTGGTGAATTGGTTACTCCTAAACTAGTTATTTATCTTCTGAACAGCAATCTCACAGTGAAGTTGAAGTGACACTCTCTTTCCTTTGTCCAAAACCAACACTTATTGATATGTTTGTTGAAAAACCAGATACCTTGTTAGCTCTAGTTGATTTGTAGGGTTGGATTTTAGGAACAGTCCACCCATGCAACAGGAAACTTCAATTACACATTGGTCGATACTTTCATAATTTATTTTGTCTTGTTAAAAATTACTTTTTTTTCTTATATCTTCAGGAATTTTTACACATTAGAACACCCTCTCTCTCTCTCTCTCACACACACACACACATTTTAGAAGCCAATGATTGCAGTTTTATCCATTTCATAGATAATATCAAGCCATTTTACTATGTCAAACATCCCTTAAACGAAACCAAATACACAATCTTGCCTTAGCCATCCTTTGTTTAGTGGCAGTGGCAGTGACACTGAAGATTAGATGTGTTCATCATGTTCAGTCTATTTTCCTTTGTCTCACTGCGATTTACACCAACCTACTTTTACCGAGTTGGTTAACTCTTAAATCTCAATGGACTATTATTCGATTTTTTTTTGGTTCAACAGTCAGGAGTATTCAGATTAGTTTATGTATATTTTGATTAATCTCACTCTCGATTTGGCTAAAGATAAGTCATTCATGTCGGGACTAAGGTATTCATGAGGAATTCCTTTGCAACATTCAATGAGAGGAGAGACAAAAAAGGAGAGTTCTTGGAGGAGAAACCCCAAAAGGGCAAACCAATGTGTGGGCGTTTTTACACAGGGGTGTAGTTTTGTAAAGATGAAAGTGAAACACAAAATTCTTTGCAACAAGGAAAAGAACAATGCTCATCGACAGATGGGATTTGGATTCAATTGAGATTAATTGTGAAGTCAATAAAAAATTGATTTCAATTCGGTTTAATTATTTGATAAATTTTATTTTCAAAACTTAGCATTTGAATTCGTAAAAAATCAGGAATTTGATACGAATATATATTTTAGTCCAATAACTTAAATAGGATAAGATTTAGCCTTTGTTTGATACGTTTTTTGAAAGCAAAAAAATTTTTTTTACAAAATTTTGCTTTTCGCTTAAAAACATAAGCAAAATCATGTTCGATAAACATCTCTTGAAAAAGTACTTTGAAAAAAAAAATACACACTCTCACTAATACACCAAAAAAAGCATACCCCCCCTCATACATACTAATACACTAGAACACAAACGAACAAACAAACACACACACACACACACACTAATGCACCGAAACACGCATACACACATATTAACACACCAAAAAAAATACACAAACATTAATAGCACACACACATACTAATATACCAGCACACATAGACACACACTCGTACACCACACACACACTCTAATACACTAAGGTGCTGTTTGGTAAAACTGAAAACTAAACATCAAAAATTAAATGTTGAATTTTAAGTGCTGGATTTTTTAATTCGCAGACTGTTTGATATCAACTGAAATTTAAGTATTGAATTTAATCAAACTGTTTGATAAATATAAGGAGCTGAAGTCTGAGAATTATTATAATTCTAATTTTGCCATTCTCTTTAACTATTTTCGCAACTACCTTATTCCTATTACCATCATTACAATGGTGGTGGTGATATGATGGTGGTAGTAGTGACAATGGTGGTGGTGGTGGTAGTGGCACAATGGTAGTGGTGGCGACAACGATGGTAGTGGTGACGGCAACACTATAGTGGTGGTGGCGACGACACAATGGTAGTGGCAGTGGTGGCAATGGTGATGACAGTGGTAGGGGTGGCACAATGATGGTGGTGGTGGTGGTGGTGGCGATGACAGTGGTGGTGGTGGTAGTGGTGGCACAATGGTGGTAGTGGCGGTGACAGAATTGTAGTGGTAGTGGCGATGAGATAATAATAGTGGTGCTAACCAAAGAAAAGGAAGTGAGCTAGAAAAGTTGAGTGGTACTTGAGTAGTGTCAACTTGATCTCATAAAAAATTACTTGCTCTTCCAAGTCATTATGTGTGAACCCATGTAGTTTACTGTCATTGTTAGTGTCAAAAACAAGCAGTGTGATAAAAATCAGCCTATTAATTTTCTCATAGGATAAAATATTGCACTTCTTATCATGGGCTTATATTAAGCACTGTTAACTTTACAATAGAAATTGCTTAAGTGAGTGACACTTGATGGATTATAACATTATTTCATTTGATCGTGTGTGAGGTCCTACTCTGTGTTATTTATAAGTATTCAAATTTGTCTAATGTTTGGTTCCATATAAAACTTCGTTAAAGAATATTAAAATAAACAAGAAAATTGGTTCTGTGATATTTATGGTCAATGGACAGTTACTAACTGTGGGTTTTTAATATTTTGAAGTGCTATAATTTATTTTATAGATTATTTGAAACTGTAATTGATAAGTTACAATTATTGTCTAATGGTAGTCAGTAAATTTGGAATTTTTTGACTCATTTAATTACTAATATACGTTTATAACCAGTGGACTCAAATACTCCCTCCATTCCTAAATATTTGTCGTTTTACATAATTTTTTTTATTCCATAATATCTGTTGTTTAATGAAACCAAAACATAATTAATATTTTTTCTTTCAAATATACCCTTAACTTTTTAATGCATTAGATTAGGTGGAAGCTAAGTGTCTTTCATATTCCTTTTCTTCCCATTACGAATTGAATAATGATATTTTAGTTTTGTGCAATTATTTTTTACTCATATTAGAGCTATTTAATAGCTTTCTTAATCCTTGTGCAAAAATCTTAAACGACAGATATTTAGGAACAAAGGGAGTAGTTCAAAAACGTGATCAAGTCTTTGTTCAAAGAAGTTTCTGGAGTACTTTAGTACTTTAATGATGCTTAGACCTCAAGAGTAAAAATATTGAGTTAAATCTGTATTGCTAAATTAGACTAATTACTGTTGAAGCCCATACATTGTACCATCATGGTTGTTTTACATCACTTATGGGAAAGTAATTATTCTTGTTAATTCTATTTGGATTAATGGAAATATTTAATTCTGAAATGTGTTATTTTAAATGATGATTTACCATGGGAAGAAATAGTTGATGTGGAGCAAATTTAAAATGTCGAAAGCCAAATAATATCTAGTATGTTGGATGGTGAATAATATTTGAATTTCTGAATGCCACACATATTGATTCTACGATTTCTTTGAAACATGTAAACCTTATCACCCAATTGAGCTACTAGATAAAAAAAAAAAAAAAGGCTTATCGAAAAACTGGTGTGACTTAAGAGTTGGGCAACAAAAATTCAGATTTAGTAGGTGCTTGGTAAGAAGTACTGTATCACCAAATTAGCTTAGTGCACTAACATGATTTTAGAAACCCAATAAGGAGTGTTATTTAAGAAATAAATTTGTTTGATCAAACTACGACATCTGACCTATTTTGGTGAGTAGAAATTTAACATGCATTTATTCTCTAGTTAATGAGACTATGCAAAGTTTTTACAAAGTTGAGAGATAAAATATATTCTTGTTGGGTCATGACATGCTATAAGCTACTTCTGCTAGCTTTACTATTTGATACTGGTATATTGATGGTATGATTATAACACACAAACTATATGTGTTGGTAATAGAGCAGTGTGATGCAAATGCCATTTTATAAACTACAAGTTGAAGAAATTACTTATCTCAAATTTTTAAATAAAGAGCTAAAGCATTAGTAACTCTCATGAAAAAAAAATTGAAAATGTGGGGGTACAATTAAAAAGATATCTTCTGGATTCACAATTTGAATTTTCTTAATGAGATGGTTTTGTTATATGTCCGTTTGTAATGAGGATTGCAATGATCTGTTGAGATCTTTATTAACTATGCTGACACTTAAAATCTTCCCAGACAAATACATTTTAATGTAGTGTTCATCTTTGATGTTTGAAAGACAGTTCAGGTCAAATATCAAATAAAGGAATTAATAAGGTGTGCACGTCCGAGCGAGACATTCATCTGTGAAGAATGATCATTCTATATTGAGATTATAAATAGCAGTCAAACAAAGCTGACAAATAATTATATAGTTTTCGAGGAAAGCCATGAGACATGAATATATGATAGATGATTAATTTCATCAATGAGCTTTCGAGGAAAGTCAAGCTTTGAGAAAAACTGTGTCTCAAGAACTGTCGAGGGGGGGCCTAAGCCCGCAAGGGAGTCACCTAGGGAGGTAACCCAACTTCTATGATTGGGGACCCCATTCTTCTTCATCTTAATGTTTATTGTAAATAGTTTTCATGGGTGAAATAGATTTTGGTGTCTTGATCAGAACACCTTTGCCATTTGTTTTAGCAGACATTTCACGCTGATCAATTTTTATGGCTGGACTTCAAAAAGATTCTAGGCAGCTCATAACGTTGGTACATTGGGGTTATTAGGTTTTCTAAATACGTTGTAGTCTACTGTAAATCTTCTCAATTGTCTTGTTAGGGGGCTCTGGTGCTCAAACAGACTATTTGTTGGTTAATGTTTGTAGTAAAAGGATGTATCCTATTTTTGTTCATGTCCAGTGAAAGACAGAATGTGACTAGACATGTGGAAGTGTCACAACCAAGGTTGTTGTGCAAGGAGAAGATATTTTTGTTCATGTGTGGCCAAGAGCACGCACAAACAT